TGGGTTATGACTCTATTGCTGTAGGAACAAAATGTTAGTGCGAAAACCGAAGAGAGGTTTAGCCGCTTTACTGCGGTAGACGAGAACAGAAATTTTGTGGTTATGTTTTACCACCACAGAGCGTTTTGAAAATATAACACGCAGCTGTATTTTGGTCTTTCACATAAAGCAATGCAGAATGTTATTTTAGTTTCAAAACTACAATAAACTCATTTTTATAACGGGAAATTTTTTCCCCGCACATTACAATACAACCAAATAAAAATAAATCAAAACTTCGTTTCTTGTGGTGCTTTTCCCTTTTAAATGTTTGTGCAATAATGTACGATTATAATAGAAAGCCATTTTTATATTGTTTCTTGGTTCGTGTGGTGTTCTGGCTTTCTTTTGATAAGCAAAAATTGAAACTAAATTATTTTCTATCTATTTCCGAACAGTAAAGAAAATTTCCGACATATCGCCCTATAAAACATCGTGTATGATTCACACACACGGTTGTTTCCAACAACGCCGCTATCGACTCATGTAGACTGACAATAAAACAGAGAATGAATGCAAATGAGTAACTTCGAATGCGGTATGTGGTTTGCTGAGGAATATATTTTTATTTATTTATGTTTTTAATGATACCTACGCACTGGTCCTCAGTCTTAGATAGGTTTTAAAAGATACAAATTGATGAATTATTTAGTTAATTAATTAAGGAAAAAACAATTGTATTTTATATTCGTTGGATTATTATACTTTTCACATGAATATTATTTTTCATTTTATTAATCCCGAGATGTCGCAAAAATAATTTTAAATATAGGGATACAAAACTATACCCGAGTATGAAATTGGATATCGAAAAGCTTCCGGCATTCCGCACCGTCTAGACGTTTTTCCATTTTAAAAAGTCGGTTAGTAGTTTCCTTTTATTCATTTAATTGTTTCATCTCGCTTGGGAATCGGATCATTTGAAATTCTGCTCGTGTAAATTACACGTCTATGGGAAACAGAATTAATATAACACGTCAACAACATTAACTTTATGTCAAAAGCCGGGTTTCTTCTTATGAAAATAACGATTTTGTCGACTAAAGTTGTAAATAATTAATAAAAATAATATTTTTTAATTAAATATAATTTTATTTATTTTTTGAAAGGTCATTAAGGTCGACAATTAAAATTTTACCAAATTTAGTAAGACATAGTTATTAATTTTTGACTTAAAATTTAAAGAATTGAACTCAGGAGGCCTTTACTTGATGAAAATCCATTTAACAAAATAAATAAGAACTAAAAGTTCAGATTTTCAAGAAATTATATATTTTCACATGACAATTATTTCGTCAACACAGTGTCTTTATCAAATCTTTATCTTTATCATTTCATAAAGACACGGTGTTGTCGAAGCAATTGTCATGTGAAAATATATAATTTCGTGAAGATCTGAACTTTTAGTTCTTATTTATTTTGTAAGATTTAAAGCACCCAATAGTTAATTTCTCATTTAATTGTCAATCCACTTTTTTTGTTGTAGTGTTGCGATGGCTGTGTTCTGTGAAAAAAAAAAGAATTTTCTTATTGTGCTTTGATGAGACCACCGGCAAAGCTCATCAAATATAATATACAGGATGGTTTATAAACGAATATATACTTCAACTTTTAAGCAAGTATAAAAAATATTAATTTAAATTAAATAAACTTCTAGTTTTAATGAGGTTAGCCAGGCTGATAATAAAAAATGTTTGGCTTCTATAAAAACTAATGTTACTGGGTCTCACAATCTATCCTTACTAATTATTATTATTATTATTGCATCAGATCTTATAATTAATTACTTGCCACATATCATAAAAATATGTATTAGATATTTCCTGATTCTTGGAAGAATTTCGAACCCCACTGACATATCACTGTTAAGACCCACTCTATCCAAGATTTTAGAAAAAAATATGCATGCACAAATGAGTGGCTTCTTACTCAAGAACACGATTATGCTGGATATGCAGTATGGTTTTCGTAAATCTTTGGGAACTCTTTTGTTTTATCCTGCTGGGTAACAGCAAAGCTTTTGATACTGTTGATATTGAAATTCTTTGTCAAAAGTGAATAGGTCCACTAAATTAATTAATTATTACTTTGACAGAAGATCGCAACAGGTTTCCTACACGAAAATAAATCTAGCACCATTTCTGTGACACAGAGTACTTTCCTTCTGTTTTGAAACACATATCTCTTAATAATTCCTCTGATGATTCCCAAATGAATCACTATTTTCAAGCAAATGAAGTATTTATTGTAGTTACGAGGATTAACGAGCATCTAATTTCTCTATTCGATATATCGTCAGCTCATAACCTTAAGCCTGATGCCAATAAGTCAGGGGCCATATTATTGTCAACATTCTTATGGATAGCTTAAGAAACTCTATCTAAATAATAAAATAATGGGTTCCAACCTGAAATAATCCCAATGCGAGTCATTAATTATATCCAGGTTCTCTATCATATGCTGATTCAGTTTATGGCCTGGCTTTAACCATAATGGATAGTGATATACTCCATAAAGTTCAGAATGCTTGCTTCAGTCACGTTATATACAGACCGAAACGTCTGAAGCTTAAATCTTTGACCTCCTTAATCTTACTTACAAAACATTAAAAACCACCGTCCAGCTGCCTTATTTGATTAAAAATAAAAGCGAGAAAAACAGTTGCTACTTTTACATCGACATAATACAGTATTATTTCATAGATCTTTTTCATATAAAACTTCTAAATTGATCAATAAATTACAACTTATCCTTAGTTAATTAGAAAAGAAAAGGTTAAAAATATTTATTTTTGATAATAAGAACGATTTTTTATTATAATATGATCTGTTTAGGTTAACCCTATCAAAATTACAAAAAAGCTACGCAAGAGTGAGGTATCTCTTTCGCGCGCTTTTTATTAAAGCAGGTGACTTTCAAAGGCCTGGATAAAAGCGAATTGCCACGGACGGATTATCCCGTAGCTCTTACCCCTTATTATTCATATTGTTCGAGTGTGCTCTGTATCGTGAATACAAAGAGGACCTTGTTAAATGCATCAGACACGAGGGCAGTAAAATTAAATCCCGTGTAAAAGGGAGGTTTTGTGGTCCCCCCCCCAACAGAGCACCATTTAAAACGATGGAATATCTGGCTGACGTCCGAAAGCCGTTTTATTACTGCGCTGATGAAAATATAATCAAAAGCGTTTAAAAAGTACCTTTCGTGTGATTTAGACCACTCAAAGAGACCCAGATTTTAGTAATGTTGGTAAGATTTCAAATCTTGCGCATTTGCATATTGAATGGACTTTCTAACATTTTTATTCATGCTTGCTTCATAAACAACTGTACTATCAGCATAGGCATATATCTAGTAGCTATATGGATAGCAATAATAAAACATAGCTTCAAATCAAATGTTGGCTAAATAGACTACCTCATTCTAACTGGCATAAGCGACAACAAAACAATATTAGTAGCCGTGTTTACGTTTTGCCTGTTGTGTGGTTTGTGAAAAAATAAATACGATGAAATCCATTTTTGTCGTATATAAAGTCTATGGAAGCCGAAGTTTTGTAATCACAAAAACTATTATTAGGATAATTGTTATTTAATATTTCTTGAGTTAAATCCATAAACAGAGTAATTTTTAAGCTTATCCATTAATGTTAAACATTCTGGTGAATCCACAAAGGCACTAAATCGCGATATATATCAAAAGATTATTTTTAAAGCAATTTCAATTAATCAATATCAACGCACACATGAACCTCATATGAAAATAATACAACCATTTCCAATTTTGCTTGCAAAACACTGTAATATTTTTTTTGCTAGAGGTCTCATTATATTGTAAAATCGCTAATACGGACCTTATATCTACTAGGTAGACCTGTCTATGTTGATAGTATAGAAATTTCAACGAATAAGACCTAGCGGCATTTAACAATCAACATGTCCGTTAATTCGACAGACAAAATATCATAGCCGCCTGTGGCACATCAATTTTTGGCGTGCTAGGATAACCCTATTATTCAATAACTTCTTCTTCTTCTTCTTCTTCTTCTACTTGGTTGAGATCAAATGATCTGTTAATTCCGGGCTTGCCGTTGTATTAATTCTTGAGCTGTCTCTCCACCTCTTCGGCGGTCTACCGGGCGGACGACTTCCTACTGGTATTCCCTCGAGAGAGCTATGCGGGGTAATCTATCTTCACCCATCCTCTTGACGTGGTTACACCATTGCCTTCTTCTCTGCCTTCCCCATCTAACAATATCCTGTACGTCGCATTGTTCTCTTATGTCGGTGTTTCTTACGTGGTCTCTTCTGGTTTTGCCAGCTATTGATCTCAGCTCTCTCATCTCGGCTACGCGCAGCATTCTCTTTGTTTTGTTCGTGTCTTCTCTAGACAATCTCTCTTTGCTTGCTCTTGCTTTGTTGATTTGGTCCCTTAGATCTTTTGTTGGGTCGTGGCCGCTAGACATGTTCATCCCAAGGTACTCAAATTGCATTACCTGTTCTATGGGTTTATCTTCAATTACGAGCTTGCATCTGATTGGTTCCCTGGTGATTGTCATGCCTTTTGTTTTCTCGACCGATATGGTCATATTAAGCTGTCGGCACACTTGATAGAACTTGAATAGCTGTCTTTGTAGGTCGTTCTCGTTTTCTGCGAAAATTGCTGCATTGTCGGCGTAGCATGCCATATTGATATGTTTGTTGCTCATTCTGTATCCCATATTTAAGGTTGCTACTTCTTCTATGATTTTGTCCATAAGAAGATTAAATAAGAGTGGGCTGAGGCTGTCTCCCTGTCTAATTCCTCCTGATGTTAGGATGCTTTTCGTGATATGTTGTCCTGATTTAATTTGAGTGGAGTTGTCAGTGTTGAGGTTGCAGATTACCTTTACTATGTTGGCTGGTGTTTCTTTTTCCTTTAGTATATTGATGACGTCACCTAGCTTGACCATGTCAAATGCTTTAGTTAGGTCCCTTTCTAAATCCCTGTTGTTCTTCCCTATTGGTTATGTGATTCTCCAGTTTGTCTTTTATCAGGGCCGTGAACAGTTTCATTGTTGTACACAGTAAGGTTATTCCTCTGTAGTTATCAGGGGATGTTTTTTGTCCTTCCTTGAAGATGAGAATTGTTATGCTCGTGTGCCATTCGTTTGGTATTTCTCCTTTGCTCAGGATTTTATTGCACAGTGATGTGCGTGTTGTTATAAGCTTATGGCAACCGTGTTTCAGGAGTTCGTTTGGTATTTTATCCGTACCTGGTGCTTTTCTGTTTTTAGCTTTCCTTAGTTTTTCTTTTACTTTCGCCTTTGAAACCGTTGCGCTGGCTGCTGTTTGATATTCAATTTCATGTGTTTCATTGGCGCTATACAGTCTTTCGAAGTATTCAACCCACGTTTCTATTGAGACTCCTTTACTTTGGACGAATTCGTTTACCGGTTTCTTTCTGTTTTTCAATATCTTCCACACCTTCCTTTGGGCGCCATATATGTCGTGATCCATGTCGCTCGCGAATTTAATCCAGTGTTCCCTTTTGATGGTTTTGATTCGTGAGTCGATGTTGGGTTGGGGATCCTTTGTATGCTAGGTAGCTTCTTCTTTTTAGTTCTGCGAGTTCTTTCACTTCTTGGCAAATCCAAGGTTTAGTACAGTTTGTCGCGTTTGTATTTACTTTCCTTTTTCCTATGGATTCATCAGCGGACTGAAGGATGGCTTTCTTAATTTTATTCCAGCAGGTTTCCACATCGCATTCGTTGAGGTCCAGCTCGTTAAGTCTATCTGTTAGTCTGTTTTCATACAGTTTACACGTGCTGTCCGATTCTAGTGATTCTATGTTGTATTTTTCGATGCATACTGGCGACTTTTTGATGCTACTGGGTTGTTCAGTTAGAAGTTTACATAATACGAGATTGTGATCCGTTCCTATATTAGCTGAAGTTAGAACTCTTACGTCAAGTACTTGAGTCGGTTTGATGATTCTGTTGGTGATAAGGTAGTCAATCATTGATTTTTGGCCTCTAGTGTTGTTGAATGTGTACTTGTGTTGTGCCTTGTGTGGGAAGTAGGTGTTATTATTGTCAACTCGTTTCTGGCACAAAAGTCGATTAGTAGCTCTCCGTTTTCATTGAAGGTTGGTTCATTGTGTTTCTGTTTGACACCTGGAAGTATCTCATCTCCTATTTGAGCGTTAAGATCTCCGAAAATTATGATTTCATGATGATTCATTTCGGTGTTCTGAAGGTCTTCGTAGAATCTTTCTGACTCTTCTGTGGGCTTGGATATATCTGGTGCGTATATATTAACTAGGTGCATTGTAGTTTGGTTTAGGTTTAGGGAGATTTTTAGTATACTATCATTGATATAATCTATTTCTTCGATGACCTGTGTATATTTTTCGTGCAGCAGTATGCCGAATCCTGAGCTTGTCCTTTCGTGCTTAGCTTTGCCGCTGTATATTAGGGTATAATTGTCGAATCTACCTGTTCCCTTTCCTTTTCGTTTTATTTCTGATAATTCGCATATGTCTATCTTGTGTTTCTCCATTTCGATAAGCACCTTTTGATCTCTTCCATTCCACGAGGTTACGTTCCAGCAGGCCACTCTGGTAATCTTGCGTTTGGTTTTCCGTGTTCGTTTTTTCCTTTTCATAGCATGGGTCGTCGTCATAGTTATCCGTCTTGTGTCCGAGGCTATGTCTCCGGTTCTATGAGCTGTATGTTTGTTCGACAACCCTCCTCCTTTGTCCGGGCTTGGGACCGGCAGTGCAGTCAACTTTCGACTTTGAGCTGCTCAATTCACCCATTGTCGACAGCACAGGCGGGGCTATTCAATAACTATATGATGGAAACCCATTATTCACTATGAAACATGAGATTTGTTTATCTGGATGATATAATTGTAAACATATCTTTTAGATTTAAGTTTGTTGTCAGATATTGAATTGCTTTGCTGTTTACTTTGCCATAAAATGTCTTCCAGACAAATTTCCAAGCATGCATGCATTACATGTCAAAAAACTTCTGTTTTTTTTTAGTGTGATTTAGACCAACTTAAAGACGCAGATTTTGGTAATGTAACTCTGTAGCGAGAGATTTTTATTTGAGCAATTCACTAGGAATCGAAAACTCATTTAAATTACATTGCACTTAATACAAAATCAAAAAGAATTTGTACAGTTCTCTCACGATAAACGATCCCATAGAAATAATAATAAGTAGATACCTAAAGGTTATTATAATTTCGTTATCTTGCTCTTCGTAACACTGAATAGAACTCTCCCCAAAAACTAAAGCGTTTTTCTATTACTACATTAATGGTTGCTTTCGGCTCTTCGGTGTAAGTCGTACGGTCGTTCTTGCGTAGCTGGAACCACATGCCGTCCTGACTAAGTATACGTAACTTTTGGCGGCCATACAAAAGATATCGCTAACATATATATTATAAATTATATTCCAAGGAACATGTCTACAACTATTTTATATTTATAACATTTAGGCTAGTCCGCATTTTTTTCTTTTTTATTGATCCACAAAAAAAAACAGCCAAAATAACTTGTATAGAAGTTCCAGAGCTTTGCATTCTCCTTCAAATTTCACTGAATTTTTGATATGTAAACATTATAGAAACTATTGCTGAATGCTGGCAAATTCGTCTGGAAGACATTTTATAGCAAAATAAACAGTAAAGTTATAAACAAGGTTATTTTTGACAGCTTGGTAAAAACAAAATTAAATGTACTACGTTTGTAACTATATATATACATATAGTTTTTAATCTATGTTATTGCTGGTTTCATCTTCCGGTCAATCTAAAATAGAAGAAGTTTTGTTTAACATTCCATTTAAGAGAGTGTATTATAAAAACATAAAGAACATATTATTATTATTCCCCATACTAGAAATACACAGACCCTACCTATGCTGATAATACAAGGACTTATGAAGTGAGTATGAAAAAAAAATTATAGAAGGTCCATTCAACATGCGCATGTACGAGGGGGTTATCGTTGGTGAGAAAGAAAATTAGACAAAGCCGTTAGTGGGTGAAATGTAGAGGCATGCGTAGGGTCGCTATATTATCTATTAGCTATATTATTAGCGAAATTATTATTACTTAATATTGGTTTTTTATTATTTTCGGTGCCCTTTTAAGTATTCATAAAAAATAAACAGAAGAAAATACCTTGAATTTTTTAAATGCAAATAAGTCAAAAATGGAGCTACGGTTTACACTAGAGTACCTTTCCTATTAAAAATTAACATTATTTCAGAGTTCTCTCATGTTTCAATCATAACTTGACAGATAAAAAAATATGATTCGATTTATCTAATTAATACAGTGAAACTAGTGGTCTCTAGGGGCAACGTCCAAATAAGCTTCAACTTCGTAATTATCAAAACTAACAAATTATTATTAAACTTTAACTTTCTCAGTTAATGAGAAAATTCTTATCTCCGAAACCACAGACATTTGTGTGAGCATAATATTTTGGTTGTGTAGTATCTCCAGTTTAGAGATGCTCCATTCTGAATACTAGGGTCTTTAATATCCTTTAATTGCCTTTAATATTCTTAACCACACAATACAATCAACCCTTCATTATGTTGTTTGATCGTACAATAGTCTTAAATAACGAATATTCTCCATCATTAATCTTACTCACGAGAGTGCCGCAGGTCTCACTTTTAGATAACTTCATAAACGTGTACAAAAATTCAAAATTCTCGTTTAAGGCTAATCTAATGACTGTTGAGGGCGGAATCATATTTCGCCCTACCTAATTAGATCGGGTTGGTTAAATATGTTTAATCGATTGAAACTGCACATGAAGACTGTATTTTTTTGAATTTTGAAATATAAAACGCCTTAGTATCTTTACCGAAAGATTCAGTTCCACACTGCATCTGCATCGAACCCGTGATTTCACAAGTACCACATCCTAAAAAGGAAATGTAGAAAAGATTCTTCTCAAAACATAAATAACATACGTAATTTTCATATCGATCAATCTCCATCATTATTCTAACGTAATTATAGAAATGAGCTACTACTGTTACAACAGCGTTGAATTAGTATTTGGTATTACAATTTGAAAGTGTCTACTCAAATCAAGCCCTGAACAGTATCCGGATGATCCGAAGTATGCATTTTTATATATATTTTTTATTATTATTTTATTAATTTTATATATTTTTTGTAAGTGCAGACTTATAGCAATAAATAATAGTAACAATAAATATCAAAGCTTTGGAATATTTTGGGCGTGCTTAAATTTGGTATTCATTACGGGAGTGAAAATTGATATCGTGGCATTGTTAGCACGAGCATATATTAAAAGCAACACGTTGCCCAACGTCAATTAGCAAAAATTAAGGTATACAATGTGTTGCACGCTATTCAAAAATATTTTTGACACGAGATACGATCGCCAAGTTGAACAGTAACCTAATTGTCACGAGGCTATGAAATATTAAATTACAATAAGTGTGCTTCATTTGCATTTTACCTTAAAAGGAATTGTCGTTCTTTTTTTTACAATTCGAAAAAGGACGGCGCAAAACTTCAAGGTTTTCTGTGTGTTATCTAAACACATAAATTACTTCATTTCTGAATAGATATCGTCGTAAGTACGTTGGTAATCGTGGCAAAGCAATTCTTGACTTTTTTGTGAGTTCTGCGCTGGGGTTGCTGACTCACTGCCAAGTAACGTTTCAATTTGAAAGTTCGAAACGCTGCAACAAAAGTAAAAGTAGATAATTTTCGCGCTTTTTCAAAGGATCAACTAATCTTCACCTTAGTCCGATGTCAAATTATGTAGGCGAATATGATTTTACTGTAACAACAATCAACAAAGATAATCACTGTTAGTTCTACTACAGAAGTATGGATTAGAAAACTGAAGTAAAGTAAATGCGGAATGTAGCGTACGAGACATTTTTTAATCGAGACCCAGCCCGTTTTATTCCTGTAAACTAATATGGAGTTATTAACATTTTAACGAAAACAGATCTAACCTCCAGATTTTTGTTTTGCAAAAATCCCAATTTCGTGTTCGCAAAAATGATGCCCTTTAGCGAGCGTTCTAGGTACATGAATATAATTTCGAGCAAATTGTCATGACCTATTTGGCAATAAGTTTTTTCCGCATTGAAAATTTTTTGAAACAACTTGGAATTAAGCGATGAAATTGGGTGTTAAATTATAAGCAGACACCCTGTGCATATTTTTTTAGAAATTAGTACTCGCACGATGTAAATTATTGATTATTAATAAAAATGTCCCAAATTTTGTGTGTCTAAAATTTACCAATTCCTTCGTGTTAAAAGCTACAAAACTTCGTTTGTTAGACAAAACTTCTGAAATGTTTTTGAAATGTTAAGAGACTGGAACTGACCACCCGGATCACCTCATTTAATGGTCTTGGATTTTCGCGTATGAAGCGGTAAATTTTGAATCATGCTTGTGTCAGTACTGCTACTACTACTATCATTTTTAACTGATAATAAACAGTTATATAATAGGCGGACCCAAAAGAATGGCAACTCAGAATTTGACAATTGATTTATAACATTCAGGATGTGCAAAATTTAATGACATAATGTTGAAAATGTTTGATTTTGTGTATATGTAGATTATTTCAACCTATTTTTTGTTGTTATTCGACATTTTCTATTTTAACGACTTTTGGCAAACAGGAAGAACAGAAAATTGAAATTGCAAAAGGAAAATCAAATTTTCTGACATAAATGTAATAACAAATTCTAATGGTGATAACATAAAAACAAACCGGTGTATAAAAAATGCGTGGTCAATAAATAGTACAAATAAATAATCCAACTCAACAAAATATTCAAAAATCTGTTGCAATGCCATATATAAAAAATGAATCGGAAAACAGAAAACATATCCTTTCTACATATGATACACAAACCTTAGAAATTAATAATAAAAAGTAAAAGTCCAGTTGGATTAATTAAATAAATGAGCCGAATCAAAACATGTTGGAATGCCAAGCCAACTTTTAGAAAATCTCATAAATGGACATAAAAACAGAAAAAACGCATCCACTTTTTTTGCACGAACTAACCATGTAAATTTAAGGAAATAAAATTTTAACACAAAGCAAGAATTATAAAAAATTGGCCAATAACAGACATGGTTTATATCAAAAAGGAAATAAATGCTATAAATAAAAAATATAAACCAACAACTTTAAATAAACTCTTAGCAACACAATAGACATAAACATAAAGGTTAAAATATTAATATCAATAATTTCATATTTTTACTTATTTATACAGGCTGTTTCAAAACAAATGCATTTAGTAAGTTAAGTAGTTTGTTATATAAACGTTCAGTTACAAACCAATCATCAGGGAGATATTGCGCTACAAATATGGTGGAAAAATAATGTTTCAATCTTTTATCTTACAAACGAAAATATTACGGAGCTATTTCCATTTTTAAAAATACGCTTTCCTCCTTTTTTTATTTTTAAAAAATAAGTGGAAGAGATTGAATTAGACTAGCCCACTCATTCTAAATTTAAGAGAAAAATTACCTACGCAATGACATATATATTTTAAGTTTCATTTAGAAACTCTACAGCTACGGAGTGGAAAATCCAACGGCTACAAAATGGGTGATCTGGTTGCCCAGTTCGAGAATCGAAAATCATTTAACTTCTTCCAAGCCAAAAAACTTTCAGACTTTGTCAAAACTGGTGCAAACTAGAAATTACTTTCAGTTTGATATGAAGATTTGTAATACTAACTCTAGTTTCCAAATCGCAGAGGACAGTGGCACAATTAATGCGAATAGATAGGTTTGTTTAAAATTTTGCAAATTGAATTCCTGATAGAATAGGCTTCCACGTCGCTATCTACAAATTATGCTCGATAATTGCAAATATCATTCGTTTGCACATTTAAATATGTCGTCGAACTGAAACGCAGCGGTATCGTATATTCGGCTTCATTACGTAGGGGTGGTAAAAAACGTTGCCAAAATCTATAGCAGAATAATATTTCCGATAATGTCTAATTGAATTAACGGGTCAACGCGATGGTCTCACCCCGGTTTAGCTCGAAAAACACCCATTAACTTGATTAAGCTCGGAAAAATATGTTACAGTAACACATTTTTCTTCTGTCGAAAGGTTTACCAGCGTTGTAGTCGTTTCCGAAAAATAGGGCGTAAGGCGTAATTCAGAATTCATTTTTTACAATCTTTAATTCGGCACAGTGCTGTACTAGGAAATTTTATTAGTTTTGGACGCTAGAAAAACTTTTGGTTTAGTTCCTGTTTCCTTCCTGCAGTCCTCGCCTTTCTATTTCATCATTAACGTCATTTATATATTTTTCTGTGACCTTCCTTGTTTGTTTGTTTATGGGAGAGTCCAGTTCCACACTTTTAGTGGTATTTTTTTCCCCTAGGTGTCTCAGAGTAAATATGTTGTTCGTAGAGGATCTGTTTCCTCTTCCTTTTCTATTCTGGTTTTAAGGATTCTTTCATATAATCTTCCCGTGGACGACGTTATACTTAGTGCTCTATAGCTTGCGCAGTTTTTTCTATTTCCCTTTTTAAAAATAGAAGTTATGTGGGAAATTTTCCAGTCCTCTGGTATGTTTTGGCCCATTAGTACTTTATTAAATATGGTGCAGGTTATTCTATGGTTTTTGTTGTGCCATGTGCCAGGCCGATCACATTGTCCTGATGCTTAATTGTTTTTCATCTTCTGTATTACCTTCTTTACTTCTTCCATGATATTCTCCGGTACCGTACTCCGCTATAGGTCCTTAGCGGTCAACCGAGTGTCTAGGTATTCTCCTCTATTTTCCGTGAATGCTGTCTGTAGAGCTGTATCCATCTTGTACCATTATCATTATCTGTTTCCTGTTTATTCTATCTAATTCGTCAGAGAGTCTATCAGATCTTGTTTTATTATTTACAAGTATTCTGGATTCCTTCTGTTGTTTATAATTCAAACTTGCTGACGTTCGCCAATCATTCTGTATGATTCTTCAGAGCTTATTTGACACTGGCTCGTATTCTAATCTCAACCTGCTTATATATTGGAGGAGCAGCTAAAGAAGGCTCAGGAACATTGTCTCGGCTGGCTGATCTCCATATTGGTGAAAGGTAAAGACCTGAGTCGCGATTAGGATTGTTCGGTTGTTTATAGATTTCTTTGGATTCTCGGATTTTTCTTTAATAGAAGACCATTATCGAATTGACGTCGCATCGCGATGCCGCAAATCATGCAGTTATTTATAGTTATAGCACATATTAACTTTTGAGAAAGCTCTCGGGAATATGACAAGATCTGAGGAATTTAAAACGGACTTTTAGGATCTAGTATAGGAATATATTAATACCTATTAACTGAAAAAATTGAATTTTGAATGTGCGCCACTGGTACTTATGAAAAAAGATAATAAAACTACCTTTCTGACCTACTTCCTATTAGAACAAGAGATTAATGCGACGCTTTTGTTAAGACTAATAGACAAGTGACGTCGTGTTGGAATTGATAGCTGTTTACTGTTAAGTAATTTTGACCTTTAAATTAGCATTTTACACGCAACCCCTTGATGTATGTTCTATAAGGTGAAGTTATCGTCGCACTCTGTTAAAATGTATGAAGAACTCGACCGAAGGGACGAAATGAATGAAATTCAAAAGAATCTTTTCATTTTACTAATCCACTAAATAGATATTTGCTTAACTAGTATACTTAGTGTACTAATATAGTCCGATATACGATTAATGGTCATGATTGTAATAATAATATTAACGTCTTAACTGTTGATAAGCATTTTCAGGCCAATAAATCAAACTGGTCCAGGTAGTAGTAAGGAAATTGAAACACAAAACATATGCGTGCATTTTGTTGTATTTCGTACTGTATAATAATAAATTTATACTAAATCAAATTATTATTTCTATTACCGGATTTTTTATGATCCTGTCTACGCAATAAGTGTTATCATGCGATTGGATTTTTAAAACTAAAACTAGTTGTTTTTTTGTATAAATATCTTCATAAAAAAGGTCATACGGACTAATGAATTCTTTTTCCTTTAGATACATTGAAAATGCAGTTTGATAAAGAATTTTGCATTTTGCCACCCTTTCTTTATAGTGTCATGGGCGTCTGGAATACAACTACGCTTGTCAATATTTTTAAATTTAAATTCGATTTTCTCCAGAAATCGACTTAATATTTCACGATTGGCAAAAAATCGACAATTTTTTTTCATTTATGTTGCAATTATTCAGGTTACGGACTCTGATTACTCTAATACATCGTAAACACTTCTCTGCGAATCCACTCTGCATCACCATTCTTAAACACTTTTATTATGCCTATGTCACATCGTTCTTTCCATCCTAGTAAATCATTATCAAGGAATCGATGCAAGGTTGTCCTTGCAATGCCACTTAACTTTACTGTCCTCCCTATAGCAGCTTCCATGCCCTCTGATGTTTTTACAAGACCTGCAGACAAATTTTGCATTAAAAAATATAGATTATTATCTATTGCTTGGTAAAGATCCTTCCCTTTATGATGACCCCGGCAAATCATGACCACTTGTTTGTCGTGCTGGATTATACAAGGGTGTAGTGGCCACCTAATTCTCGTATTGTAAGTACTGAGTAATTGTAAAATAAAAAGAATCACAAATTGCCTGCTGCTGGGAGTATTCAAGAATTTAGCATAAATTTCATAATTTATCCTATATGTTATATACATTTAATAATATCAGAAAATTAAAGCCTACAGATCTACAATTCCAGTACTGGTTTGTTTTTTTATAGTATCTACGTTTTTTAATTCAACTAATCACTGATTCGGTAAAGAGGATTTTTTTTGAATGTTTTTGTTATTGATTAACTAGTTCGTTAAAAACTTATCTCGTATTCTAGGTCGTATCAATAGTTAATGCAACCTTGAAATATTGATGTTAAAGTCTATGGAAAATTCATAAATACCTGCGTTTTTTATCGATACATGTTTGTGGTGGCAAACAAATGCGCCACCTATGTTTCAACGTTGGAATTTATTCGCTGAAGTAAAATGTACAGGGTGTTTGTTTATATTTTGCACCAAACATACAGCCAAATCTTGAAAAGTTAGAAAAAACTTTGTATAAAAAAGAAAGTATCTATAAGGTATCTATTATATTTTGGTAATTATAGGGAAGAAGTAAGTTTCAAATGACAAGACAGTACGAAACAAATATATATATTTTAATTTATTTGCATATTTTTTTTCCTAATTCCAAGAATATATATCATATACATATACCCTCCATTATTATTTATGGAAATTTGGATATTCCTCAAAAAAATTCGTACTTACAATGTTTATGAAGTAGAATATTGTTTTTAAGCGGTTTGATTTTTTGATGGTAGAGTTTCAAAAAATATTCTTTCAAATCTTTTAGTTGAAAACTTCGCATTATATTTATGTTTATGTTTTCCAATATAAATAATGAAAAGGCTATTTTACTGATTTAAGAAGAAAAATACCGTAATCAATGTAAAATATAAAAATAAATATCTTTTCTGCCTCTGTATTTCTCTCTCAAAATTACAGCAAAAATTTCGGTCTCTATACTTTGTTAGTAATGAGAGGTCAGTAAAAGTCTTTTGGTAAATACCCCTAACCTTCTCTATTTTTCCTTATTTTTTTTTTTTAAATCGTTGACTCTTTTAATAAAAACCGCTTCTGGCGGCGAACGGTACGAGCCATCATCAAAGTACCTTTCATTAGAGAATGGACCAAACTAAAAACAGTGCAAGGCTGAAATATGGAACAAAATTCTTTTAAAAATCAGGTATCGGATTTCAAGGAAAATGCTCGCACCCGTCCATCATAATTTTTTCTTGCAGTATATGGAAACTGTACAGAGAGGATCAAAAAGTAGATGTCGATACCAAGTTCACTTTTTAAATTTAAAAAAGAATAAAAAACATGTCAAAGAAAACAAAATGGGGCGGAGCACCATCCAAATCTGTCTATTTGGGAAAGAAACTGCGAGCGTAGGAATTAAGTCATTTTGTATTAAGGTTGTCGTTTTGTGTCGATCGGGGATTATTTGTGAAAAATACCTACAATTTTGTTTATTTACTATTTAAATAAAACGTGACATCAATACTAACCAGAATCTGATGATGAAGAAAAAATGGATTTAAGTTGCACATTTCCATCATAGCTTCACAAAACTATATTCTGCGCTCGGGATCGTCTTCGTTCAGCTCCGGTAGTAATATAATCTTGTACGGGTGATACTTTTCTTCTTGTAATACACGCAAAATTAAACAAATTACAAAAGTCTTCCTGAGTTGTCGTTGTGCCTCCATATCCAATATTAATTAAAATTTCAATTCTCTGGATTTCTTCTTATTTGACAATTTAAGAACTTTACCGGTGCTAGCCACTCACCTGTCTAAAAAGAGATGGGTATATGGCATGCTACATGATGTGGATAAAAAAAATGTTTTATTTAAAAAAAGGAACTTGCGCAAGAAAAAAATTAATTAAATGTGTTCCATATTTTGGCTGTTCACTGTATAAGTATGTAGATATTTAATAATAGAGAGATAATAATAAACTGAAAAATTTGGAGCCGCTTTTCTTCAAAATCGTTTTTATTTTTTGAACGATGTCTTTTTCTTATAAGAATGCAATTTTAATGAGTGTGTGCTACTTGCCCAACTAGAAAACGATCTGCGCGTGTGACATCCTACCTTGAAATTATACGTTAAAACATTATTTAATCTGCTTCGTATAATAACGATAATAATAATAATTACGGTATTATACTTGGGAGGTTTATTTTTAAGTAATCATGAAGGAAAATTTCATTTAATAAAAAAATATTGATGTCATCGTGTAATCGCATCCTTGACTTTAACCGTTTTTTAACAAAATGTCGCACGTTTTCTAAACATTATTTGCGATAATATATCGAGTAGATATCAAGCGAAACTCCTTTTGTTGTTTCTTCAGTCAATCAGTCAGTCAGTGAATACATTGAAATATCAAATTCATCTGACGAATCTACATAATTTTTATTTTTTTTCATTCAATTTAGGCTTTCGGAAAAACCGCTCATCAATAGTGATGTAATATTCAACTTAAAACAAATAATAAAAAAATATTATAATTTAATCGACAGGCCTTTCTTTACATTGTGGATATAATTAAGGCAGTCGACGTATACCGTCACAGGGATGCTATCAAAATCTTAAGAGCGAAAAATGTAAATCGCCATTTGTTAGAATAACAATTGACGCAGTATCCTGTGGATCAGATAATAATTATCTATCACTATTTGCCGATGATACAGCTGTGGTTTCCTGCAGTGCGGACATGGAGGATCTGTCTAAGAACTCTAATGAGGCGGTGGCAGATATTGTTGATTATTGTAACAAAAATAGTCTTATATTAAATCATGATAAAACTGAATTGATTCATTTCTCACTAAGAGGCATAGATAAGAGCATCATAATTAAGTGTAATAATAAAACGATCGATGAGAGGTGGGTTGCGAAATTTCTGGGAGTTTATTTTGATTTTGGTCTTTGTTGGTCTCATCAGGTGGACTATATTCTAAAAAATTATCCACACACTGTTTTGTCATTTGGCAACTTAGAGAAAGGGTCGATTATAGTCTTTTGTTGCTATGTTATTATTCGTATATTCAGTCCTGTTTAAATTATGCTTTTACTGCTTGGGGTAATTGCTCCTGATCGCATGAAATATTTTTGTTCCAAAAAAGGATTATTCGTACAATGCATTTTAAACCGAAACATTATTCCGGCAGAAATATATTTATTGAAATGCAAATTTTGACATTTCCCAGTCTATACATCGAATTCAGTAACGATTCCGGGCTGCGGTCAGTTCAAGGCTGAGGTGAAACGATTGCTTATCCAGAAGGCATTTTATTCTGTACAAGAGTACCTGTAGTGCACTTTGTTTGTTTTTTATGTGTTATTTTAAAAATGCTGTGTATCTTTATTGGTTGTGTATTTTAACATTATCCTATACTTACAATGTAAGTCGTATGGAAATAAAGTATATTATTATTATTATTATATAAAAATCGGAATGAAACAACACTGTAGAACTAAAGTCAGAGTAGGGCAGTTATTGACTAACGAACAAAACATAAATAATAACAAAATTAAAAAAATTCTTGCGGCATTCCTATTCTTGGACTTTCAGCTTCCTTCTGACTTAGGTTGATCGACTAATAAACCTAACTTTTCTATAAATTGGCCTTAATTATTTTTTTTCTATTTACAAATTCTGAACCTCTAACCTACCATTTTTTATGTCCAATCTATAGTAAAGAGGAAGAAAAATCTAAAAAAAAACTAATCCACGAATGAAGCATCAACTATCCAAAAACAAAATCGTTTTTGTTTATTGACTTGCTTAAGCATAGATTTTAGATACTCATTTCTTTTGGGACTGTCCGGCATAAATAGTGTTAATGGATGATGTTCCACTCAAGGTATTACAAACCTTTCCGTCAAGCGTCAATTTAGTTTAATTTTTCATTGATATTTAATTTTATTTAATTTAATTTTTTTTATTGAAATATCATTGTTCATCGACGGATAATTCTGTAGCCATTTTTTTTAAACTAAAACCTAAAAAAGACGGGGGGGGTCTTCCAAATGATAATATCATCAACATGTTCCTTGTTATCTGCACATATGCGGTTACAAATAAATTGCTATCATTTATGTCTTAGCCACAGAACTTTTGTTTGTATTCGCTCTAATCTGAAGTCCGCTCACTATTAAAATCAGATTATTGGCAGCATTACAAGAAAATATTGGAAGCACTGTTTTTTGCGATTCTGTTATTGTCGAAGCATTGTGGTCGAAAAGACCGTGCAACTCAGCAATTAACGAAATAACTTCATTATTACTTAAAGTATTTCCTGAACTAATACACGGATTTGAGCTTTTATTAAATGCAAAGGCTGAGGTAAAACGATTGCTTATCCATTGTCTGTCCATCCTAGATATTTATAGGGACAGAGAGAGGCTCTACACTTACAGTTTCCTTCTGCTAAATGGGCCAATTACCATTAACTTCACTGTCTACTGTCTGTGCAACAGCCAGTCTTTTTGAACAAAGTTTTGTCAAATATCAAATATATCACGATGAAGAAATGTGCAGTGATTATTATTAATATAATAGCGTACATCAAGAAGCAGCAGGTGGTCATGCCAGTGAACATGTGCATATAATTAAAAAAAAAACTCATAAACGTGGAAAATAGTGGATTTAGATAAACAAAAATTTAGAACACTGCTAAAAATGAATATTGGGCAAGCAAAGGACAATTATCTAAAACTTATGGTAAAATACAGAACCAGCTAAAATAAGTAATTTTCTACAGTTGAATTTTCACAAGGATAATTAGTAACTATGCAAAATATTCCAAATACCTTGTTTTTGAATACCTATTTTGTGATAGCTTAATTGTAACACCTTATAGGAAAAAAACTAAACTTTAGTGCTTTGTGTTTTTCTATTTTTGACATAAGGCGGGTAACAGTGCATTAGTTATAAAGCTGAGGTCTTAAGCAAAAAAATAGTTATTACATCCGCAATGACTCTAAAAACCTACAAACGGAAAAGCGTGTTAAAACGTTGCCATTAAAACGAGCTACGTATCGGGTCGCCAATTAGCCTTGTAAAAGCGGATCTACACAAATATGGAAACGTATCTTGGCCTTTTCCACGGGCGAAATTCGCGTGAAACCATCTAAAAAGAAAAACAAGCCGCGAAAAGTAAACAAATTCAAGTTCGCGAGCGCAAAAACTAGACAAAAGTGCATGGTTCGATGCCCGCACGGATGGTGGAAATGGTATAATCCTGTCAACTTCTCTCAGATTCGTAGACTAGTTTAGTGGCGACGCCACCTGCGATTAGTCAGTGCGGAGTGCCGAAGAAGTCTTTTGCAGATTCCGTTTTTGCCGCGCCTAATTGGTGTCGCGCGTTAATAGTTCGAATACGTGCGGTAGGTTTCGAACCAATTGAAAAATTTGAAGCATCATAACTGCGGTTTCGATTGGTCAACTTGGTGGTTGGCTTGGTGCTAGTGTGGCAAAGTAATACAGGGTGGGTCGAAAAGATGGGTCAACTCGTTAACGATAGATTTCTCGTGTGAAAATATTCAGAGTTCTCATTATAATTTTTTTTATTTCATCTTTTGTTCACTTCTTTTTTCAAATGTTGTAAATAAAGACGTCATCCAAGTAAAAAAAAAGGGTTATCCTGTATCCTATTAGCGTCCACCAATTGTCTCGATGTACGGTTCTAAGACTTATCTCGAATAATACAACTTTTTTGTGTAATTTTTATTTTTAAGAAATTCTTAAAAATAAAAATTAGTTATTAATTAATAATAATTCAACAAATTTAAATTAAATATAAATGTCTTTCTGATAATAATACATGATGATAATCTACAGAGTTTATTAAAGGGGATAGGCAAGAGTTGTATGAACTTTTTTCTATTATCTTCTGAACCTACCGATAAAAACAAATGAGAGCCTCATATGTATACATTCCATTTAAAAATTCAATTTAAATCAGAGGAAAATTGGTCCGTAAGTTGACAAAACTTTAGAAAACCCTTGTGATGAAATAATTGAATATTTTCTACTTTTTCTTAATAAGTTGGCAACGTGACGATAATATGCTTTTACTGTTCTATTCCATGTCGAAAATATTTTGTCCGCCACATTCGCGAGATTATCTAGCGTGCCACGATAAAATTTCATCCGTTTTGGTTTTTAATATTTCATATCCAATTAACTTTGCGGAACGCTCAAAAAATAGACCATTTATTTTACCTATCTAGCGTATTGTAATTTTGATATGAATATTCAGTCATAAATCATTGAGACCTTACAAAATGTCGAAATGTTTTGTCGAAAACGTACGCTTCATTTCACTTCGATTTTTGAAGAAAGCCAAAGAAATAAACCATCAAAACAACGATACGGGGAGTACCAAGTAGGACTGAAAAGGCGCTTATTTTTTATTCGTTTTAAAAAGAGATTTAAACCTAATGGAGATGTGCGAAGACTTTTGCAAAATAGCCATTTTGTCGTTTCTGTTTCAAAATTTTGGTGTCGATGTATGATGACAAGACGATCGGCCATTTTTTCAACTAGGCAATCTTATACAAAGCCGCAATTTTTTAAGTGGTATACGATAAAATTATAAAATGGTTCGGTTTAAACAAATGTATGTTTAAAATGTTTGCCAAATAGAGAACCACGTGTTAGCCATTAGTAAAGGCTGCACAGATTAAAATAATAAAAAAGAACACTTATTTCATGACAACTAATCAATAATTATGTAAAGTCGCTTTAAATGCAGTTTAAAGAAACAAGCAAAATACCGGGAACAACATAGACCCAACAGATGCATTTAGTTCGCTCAACGGCATTTTTAACAGATATCTTAACAGTTGGAAAAATGGTCAGCACATACAAAGAAAACCTGACAGAGCACTACAAAACCAAAGAATACCAGGTAAAAACCAACCTGCAACTATTAACATAAAATTTACGTTTACCCAGGCTGAAAGAGCACAGACAATAATTTCAGTATTCGACTGGATCGCAGACCCACCGAAATTTTACACCTAAACCAAATTTACAGGATTTTTCATGGATAACAATCTGGGAGTTTTAGTTCTTTTGTAAATGTTTGATGGAATAAATAAGTGTAAATACTGTTCAGACCATCCACATTTTTATGGTTAATAGAGTTGCCACACTGATGATGACATTTTTTTCCGTATCTAGGATATAAGGATTGTTTTATGTCACTTGGTGGACATGATCATTCACATGGGAAGTGAGGCTAGTAACCTTGGGCTTATGTTTACGGTCACATGTATGTAATTTCTTTCTTTTTTTTAATTTGGTTTTTTTTTCAAGTATTGATTCACGGATGTAAAAACGTGTTGTCAATATATTTCGGGATATCATCCGTTCGTTTGTTGAACTCCGACTGGAATCCTGCATCCGACTGAAATCCTGCAGACGTTTCGTCATCTTCAATGCTCGCGCTCCGAAGTGTTTTCGGAGCCCGAGCATTCAAGATGCCAAGTGAGATCTTGATCTTGTATGTTCTTGCATGTTCCATAATCATATTAGTTTCAATTAAAATATTTGCAAGTTAAACGATATAGAAGGTAGAACAAAAAATACAAAAATTGCACACGAGTAAATCACCCTTACCTCAAAAAAATTGATAAGAATTTTATTAAGAAGAAGAAGAAAAGTTGAAAAACATATAAAATAACAAAACTAAGATAAAAAAGCTTTTTTGTTCGAAAAAGATTAATAATTTTCTGATTTTTTGTTCCACAATTTTAAATACTGTCGCAAATTGTTCAAAAGCAAATCATTTAGCAAATTTTTGTTCCAATTTTATCTGATTTGTAAAATTATCTATAATTTCAAATTTCAAGTCAAAGTTTCATTTCTTTATATCATGGATATCCGCGATTATTTTAGTAGTTGTTTAGTGTTTGTCATTTAATAACAATTTAAAATAAAACTTTTTCTATTTAAATGAGAACTAATATGCCTTTCATAATTAGCAATGCTTTGGCTACTTAACAGGAATTATAAATTTTTTATTAATTTTTTATGTGTGAATATCGTTGCAACCAACATAAAATATGTGTTTCGCTAGAAAATTTAAAATGTTAGTTAATTTTACGAATAAGATGGTATTGTTGGTACCTATGGTTTGTTGTTTGTTCTATCGAAGCGAAGCAACATTTCAGAAATCATCACAGTACAAACATTATCTAGACCAGTTCGCAAAACCTATACCGTAGAAACCGATTGCTAGTTGCTTCAGCTAAACAAAAAAGCCTAAAGACAGAAACAGATATTTGATAGGTTTGGCCATTTTGTGCGTTTTTTGCGGGCTTTTTCGCGAGAAATGTGACGAAATTTGCATAGATCAGACAAGGTGTTTGATAAAATCCAAGAGATCCTCTTGCAGTGGGAAAGTATATTTAGAGGTCTCGGCTATTGTTGAAATATCTAGAGACGTTAAATACAAGCATGCATAAATATGAATTATTCATTTCCAAGGAGGTTTTGCCAGTAAATTACGCTCGCCTGCAGATAACGTTTTGAATCGTAATGCGTTCGATTGTTTACGAGAAACATTTCAGTTATTTGTTGATCGAATTGAATGTTTTAATAAATGTCGCTGCATCATGCTACTCGCATTCCATTCAAATATGATATGTACAATTCGAAACTTAGCTTCGAACGACACCGATATAAAACCGAGATTTCTCTCAGGAAAATATAAAAAATGCTGCAATTATTGTGTTTTTATGTGTTTTGATGCATATTACAGAATAAAACGTGAGTTTAGCTAACGAGATGTTCCAGATGTATCAGGAGATCATTATCTGCCATTTTCAAGTTCTTTTATGAAATGCGTTGAATAAAAATAAGTAAACAAATTTCCAAACTCTCCCAACATTGCTTGATTTTGTTTTGGCAAATAATACGACTAAATGATACAACAATAATCCAAAGCAAGAGACTTCGACGACTCGTATGTGACTTCTAATATATTCTCAAATAATTGAAAGGTGTCAATCAGGAAATTCTGCCAATTTAGATTATGTAAATTTATTAACACCCTTATATTAGAAAGTAATGAAAAATATATGTGGGTTACATTTCCAAATTTGGTATGAATATTGAATATCCGCACAAGCATTTTTTTAAAATAATTATTTGTATTCTTTGTCTGACACAGTAGTTGGGACAATGTTGAAATTATTTTTTCTCATAACTGTTACTCAAAAAATGTCTGGTGCCAGATCTCTAACAAAGAGTACTTTAAAATTTAGTAAACAAAGTTAGAAAAAATTAGAATAAGTATAGTAAGTACGTAAGTCACTCAAATCAACTTGACATGCTTTTATAGATTACTATTAATGTGTATAGAATTTGTATAGCCATTTTTTATTTACAAATTAATATAATAGGGTCGGAAGCATTGACTCTAGTATAAAAGCAAGAGAAGAGGAAAAGACTGCAAATTTTAATGGTGGTTAATATTTTTACTTTACTAATAGTCCGAATCAGATCAAACATAGTATTTTGGAACACATTGAGAAAATAGCTGAAAATTTAAAATATTTGTTATTTGCGTGGGCAGAAAAAATGTCTTACTATCTGTAGTTTATACGAGGAACAAATAAATTTATACTGTTTATTAACGCAACCAAAAAATTAATTAAAGTTAATTAAAAATTTGATATAGAGTCATTAAAAATTGAGATTGATGGCGATCACTGAGAGACACATCATCAAATTTATTTAATAATATTTTATGCGAAAAGCCTTCTGGAGGATATATTTCCTAAATTTTACCAAGCACATTTCAAAAGCTTATACGGATTTTTTTCAATGTTTTAGATTTCTGTCATGCCTGACCTGACGTATATTATTAAAGTCTCTAGTGTCGCGTAGAATAAATCTATAGGTTTTTGAGACACCTGCCAGTACCTTATTAACATGAGGAAATAAGGATAATTTGTAGTCCAGTATTATATCCAACTTAGAAAAGTTGTTAGAATGGGAGAGGATTTAATCAAAAAGATTATATTTAACAACTACACCTATGGTGGTTAAAGACGCGGCTGTATTAAGCTGCAAGTTATTATTTACATTTTACAATCTCGTAAAGACTGGATTATAAAAACAAAAATTACATCCTCAGCATAGAGCAGAAAACCAATATCAAGATCTTTACCAATGTTATTAACCAAAATGTTGAATAGTAATGACGACAGTATTGAGCCTTGAGCGACGCCTGAAGAAGGGACGTATTTATCAAAGTTGACCAAGTTATTATCCAGTTGTTAAACAAGAAATCTAATATGTTTGTAACTTTAACAAAAAAAAGCAAAAACCTATGTAGCACAAGGCACCTGAAATCATACATTGTAAAGTTGTCACATTACAAAAAAGACTTCTTACAAATATATAAAAAAAATATTTTATGTTTTACGGCCGATGTACAATGAAATATCAACAAGTTATTTTGTTAATGCATATTGAATTAAATTTCTAATTGAACTATACTTTTCAATAAATAAAATTTGGTAGAACATCCCAGAGCCTGTCGGGCACTGGCAACATTGTCTCTGCCTGTTCAGGTATTAGCATCATTAAAATAGAAGCAATGCTATCACTCTTGATAATATATCTATCGTGTCAATCCTTTGGCGATTTCAAAAAATCTTTTCGGGTTCGAGCGATGGGTAATAAATTGAATACTGTTTTCATTTTAATTTAATAAAATGTGGAATTTGGAAAATCCTTATGCTCTCTCGGAACATTAAAAGTTGCCAACATTTGTCTACAATCGACTACAAAAAATGAGCTCTGGATCTTTCTTTTTACTTTCAGTTCTCTTCTCAAACCAAACGATGAGGATCGACCTATAGCAAGGCAAATGAAAAATGTCGTCCTCACGAACAAACTTGAGATACGGTTGTGCCTAAATGGAGTTATCAATCCGCAAGGAAAAAAGATATGAAAAAGCACCGTCGGCGATGTTTCATTGCCTTTTGTGTCATGATGGTGGGCGTAGTCGTATCGAGTTCGGTGAGTACTGATTTTACTTCTACACCATATGGAAACGACAAAAATTTACACGACCAGAAACCATAAACATTCGGATGTTGCTAAACCTCCCTTAAAATGAATAAGGAGAAAGAATATAATTGAATAAACAAGAAATGCTTAGTTTAGCGCCTTAATTATTTGTTTCTTAACAATGCGAATGATAAGTGTGAAGAAATATTTTCTCGAAACAATGAGCATGTGTAATTGTAAAAGTTGACCAAAAAGTTTCTTATACAAGCGTCCTTTTCAACATAACTTTTCCTTATTCACGAATTTATTCTACGAACGGCTAAATCGCAGGTAACGTTTCGTAATTTGATTGGTTGAGCATTGTTGCCAAATTATACTTTTTTTCCCATGTACGTATTTTTAAATAATTCTCTTTTATACTCTCCTCTCTATTAACTGAACAACAAAATAACAGAAACTAACCAAATACTTGCTTAATTTTACACAATTATAATGCAGACATCCAACAGCAATTTGTGATTTGGTTATATTAAGCTCTTTCTTAGAGGCACTAATCTTCAAACGCAACCAAAATTCATATAGAAACAACACAACCAATACCAAATTTACATCTCTAGTAAATTTACATTTTTTCCACCAGAGGTCTCGTTAAATACAAATAATACCGATTTAAATTTGACCAATGCACTTAACTCATTCATACAACACATAATTCTTAGTAGTAGTGTACATTAGAACTCTGATACTCCTGTAACATTATCCTTACAAAAAAGATTATAAATAATCGTGTGACCACTACGTAGAAATAAAACTTGCTGAAGACAGGAAATATGAAATCGCCACCTGCTATCTAGCGAAAATTGCGTTGGAATTATTAAAATACGCTAAGGTATGCATTATGTTGTTCTTGGAATAGAGTACTGCAACTTTCTGAATCCTGTTTTTGGGTTTGAGATGAAAATCAAAATTGGTCATATTTTTATTGCACCCAATCTGATGAGACATATTTTTTCGGCATTTATTAGACTTTCGATGATACATTAGCAAATTGACTATAGAGATTCCAAATTTCAGTATGGAAATATGAAAAAGATCTCAGCAATACTTTACTATTTAGACTAACGAACAGTTGTTTCACTAAATTTTTGAACTCCACGAAAATGAAATTCTATTTCACGTACTGTTTAGATGTCCTCTTTAAAACGAGATTAGAGTTTGGAGAACAGCTAGACACTTACAACCTGGAGCCAGGGTGGATATCTGTACATGGGTGAAAGCTTGAAGAATGAATGACTTTTTTTCCTCTGTTTTTGTTTCGTTATCGGCTTTCTTGGAACATAAAAGATCAGAATGGCATAAAGGTCGCTAAAATAGATGGAGATCTTGAACAAAAGCAAAACGAACTACTGCCCATTAACGAGGTGGAATAAGGATCTCAAATTTCATAAAGTAGAGCAAGCTATTCACTATTTGTGCAATCACAAAAGCACAGAAGATCACACCATAAGTGAAGAAATACTCAAATAACCTTTTAAAGATGGCTTGAAAATTCTTTGGAGGATATGTAACAACATTTGGCAAACTGGACAGTTCCCAAAATGTCAACAATGTAGGAATTATATAACCATCGCACTCATCTCACATCCAAGCGATGTCATGCTCAGAATTCTTCTTTGATGCCTGAAATGCTTTTTGGATTTACATATACTCACTTTTTTTCAGTAGGTGGTTCTGTTAGAATTGATTGTAGCAATATTTATTTTTTAGGGACGTGTGGAATTTAGTTTCATATACTTATAAACAATTAAGATTTTTTAAATTTTGAAACTGTACGGAAAAGCTTAAACTAATTTAAACTAACCAATAAATCGTAAAATGTTCAATTTTCAGTAAAAAATTTGCCTTGTTCCTTCTATGAGGAACTTACTGGAAATGTGCGGATTACTCCGAATTGCCTTTAAATAATTTTTGGGTAAAAATTCTTGCCCAAATTTTTCGCCATAAAGGCAAATCTGTTATACGAAAAATGAAATTGAAAATATATCTAAAAACCACTATGTCGCCAGTTTGATGAATAATGGATTATAATAATAATCTTGTTGCAACCTGTGTTTTAGGACTATTTACAACGTTCAGTTTTGGCTCTGCCCGTTAGTTTGAAATTCTAAACGTTTTTTGTTGCATGCAAAGAAATACAAGTATTCTTATCGATTATTCAACAACATCTGGAAAATATGAAATATTAGAAAATATTAATTAAAACGGCCTCAAAATTGGTTCAATTGATTACTGAGCATGACAACGAACAAAGTGGCGACGCTTTTAACCACACGCGCATCGACAAGATCGTTGGTGTTAGGTTATCGACCGGGTTGGAACAAACCTAATATCAATATATATGTAATTTCTTTGACAACTAATTATTTCACAACGGGCACACGTAAAAACCAACATGGCAGACGGGAAACAAGCGCCAAGAAGTTGCCGTTTCTTTTCCTTGATGACGACTTTCTTCGTTTTAAAATAGTTATTAAGCCAGATTTCGAGAACTGATTCGGCAGCAGTTTTGACCTACATTGCAAGCATATAAAACAATCCAACGTTAAAGAAGAAAAAATAGATTTCAAAACAGAGTAAAAATGTCAAATTATGAAACGGCGAGGTATTGATGCTCATACGGTGCGAAATCCTCTTTCTCTCTCTGTGTACCGTCGCAGTCACTGAATTCATTCACCTATGCGGTCAACAATAAATAATTGAAACGTTACGATTGTTTTTACCAAACAGCTTCTGCATAATCGTCGCTATCTAGATTTCGAAGGCGACAATGAACTAATCTGTTGCTGCTATAGCGACGGGGCGATGCATACAATTTTAAAAGTATTTTAATTCATTTTCAATTTTTGAACATTTAAAAACGTATTAATGCTTTTTCGAAATCTTAAAAGTGTGTTAACTTATTTAAAAATGAATTAAAACACTTTCAAAATTTTAAAATAAATTAAAATAATAATATATTTTTATTTAGCATAAATCTGCAAGAAAAACCATAAAATTTGTAATGTAAATAAGGGGTGTTTTTTTTCGATGTATAGAACTTTAAGATTCAATAAAACAACGATGGATTATTTGATTGACATGAATTTTATTTATTCGAAAGATAATCTTGTGGCATTACATTTTAATTTCTGTCATATGACCGCCACGGCTGGCGCGGATGTAGTCCAATCTGGACGTCCAATTTTTGATGACTTTTTCCAACATTTGTGGCCGTATATCGGCAATAACACGGCGAATGTTGTCTTCCAAATGGTCAAGCATTTGTGGCTTATCCGCATAGACCAATGACTTTATATAGCCCCACAGAAAGTAGTCTAGCGGTGTTAAATCACAAGATCTTGGAGGCCAATTCACAGGTCCAAAACGTGAAATTAGGCGGTCACCAAAAGTGTCTTTCAATAAATCGATTGTGGCACGAGCTGTGTGACATGTTGCGCCGTCTTGTTGAAACCACATCTTCTGGATATCATGGTTATTCAATTCAGGAATGACAGAGTTAGTAATCATAGCTCTATACCGATCACCATTGACTGTAACGTTCTGGCCACCAACATTTTTGAAGAAGTACGGACCAATGATTCCACCAGCCCATAAAGCGCACCAAACAGTCAGTTTTTCTGGATGTAACGGTGTTTCGACATACATTTGATGATTAGCTTTTTTGGGCTCATTCGACGAATCTACGCCTTACTTGATGATCGTTTGGCTTCAATTCTTACACGAGTTGGATTTTGTAAGCACATAAACCAAGATCCTTCCGCAAAATCTTCCATAAAGTGGATGGACACAGATCCAATTCTTGTGCTCGATGGTGGATGGACTCATTCGGGTCTTCCTCAATACGGCGTCTCTGGGGATGCGAGTTATCAATAAGAGTAAACGTGGTGCGTTAATGGTTAATCACATTAACTGCTCTGATGGACGATTTTGTTGACGATAAAATGGACGTAGTGCGCGATACGTATTCCGCACAGAACCATTATTTTCTAAATAAAATTGCACTATTTGCAAGCGTTGTTCAGGTGTGAGTCTATTCATGATGAATTGCCAAACCAAACTGAGAATAAATCACTTGACAGCTGTTAAATCGGTCGCCATCTTGAACAGTAATGCCAACTTAAAGTTCTACACATCGAAAAATACATACATACTTAAATAAATTGACCACTTAGCAACAAAAAGATAAAAGTTAAATTAATATTCAAAGAATGCCTTTAATGCCTCAGTGCAATATAAGAAACAGAAAACGCATACAGCCAACAAAACAATTATTATAAATCAGTGAGAACAAAATGTAAATGCATACAAATTACAATTTCAAACTCTACCAAGCTTTTATTTAACATATGATTACATCAGTACACTTGCTAGTTTTATAATTCATGCGCTTCGATGGAAAGGGATGTAAGTGATACTTCCAGCCCAAACACATCCTCGAGTTCCTTGAATACCACTTTATATAGTGCCAAAAAATGAACAACCATTCAGAACATTTAATCTACAAAGCGTTTTTTTTAAATGCATCATAGAATCTTCTGCGTTATGCGTTAAAACCTCGAAAAGTGTCAGTTACTATTAAACTACAATTACCTTTTGATAGAAGAATTTGTAATATTTATTCGATTGAACTTTATGAGCCACAAATTGGAGTAATAAAATATCATATTGAATTTTTTCCTAAATTATGACTTATTGCTATTAATAATAATGCTGGTCTTCAAAACAAAAATGTTAATATAATCAAATTCTGGATTCACTTTCTCCAAAACATTAGATTCAGTTGATCATAAATTTTTGAAATCTGTGCACTCCTACGTAGAATATCATGTCGATAAAAAATCATCGCATATAACCCAGATGAGTATATTCATGTGGTTAGTTTTACAAGGGAACCTTAGACGTTGATATGGCCTTCACCAAACTGGATTTGAAGGCAGGCCGAAAAGGTC